TAAAATTTTTTATAAGAAAGAGCAAATAAAATTTATATATTTATACTCTTTATAATTTCGTCTATTCAAAAAAAGTGCCAAAAAATTTTGTCTTTTAAATAAAATAGGTCTAAAACAATTTCGTCTTCAAATTTTAATTTCGGGTTTTAGAAACTGAAATAATTTCGTCGGCATGTATACTCTAGACCTGCCACTTGGAGAGGGTGACAACTAGACCACTACACTAAGTCGCCACACCTCTGCTTGATGTACCCTCATTGTAATTGTATAATGTTATCTCTATTTAATAAAAAGTCCCTGGCCAGAGAGGTTATCTTAATACCAAAAAAAAAAACATATATATATATAATTTTTTATTAATTTCTCAAGAACTGCTAATTCAAATTGGCTGAAATTTTAATATGTTGTAACACCATATTATAACTATCTATAATAAAAATTTCATCCAATTTGAATTATTAGTTGTTGAGAAAATTGCAGCCAGAACTATATATATATTTATAATTATTTAATTTTTTACTATATTTTTTTAAATTTATATTAATATTTAGCAGTAATTTTTTAAGAATATTAATCCAAATTGGATAAAATTTATACTGTAGATAAATATAATTTCTGGCTATAACATATTAAAATTTTAGCTAAATTGAATTAGTAGTTTTTAAAAAATTACTTAAAATCTATATACAATTTATATAACAAAATTATATATAGTTTTTAAGCAATTTTTCAAGAACTACTAATTAAAATTGCATAAAATTTTAATATGCTATAGCCAGATATCATATTTATTTACAGTAAAATTTTGGCTTATTTGAATAACTAGTTGTTAAGTAATTCAAATTATAATTTTTAATATAATAAATACTTTAATATTATTGGCTATTTGGCTATATATATATATATAGGACATGATAAAATGGAAACCCCTTCTCTCTAAAAAATTATATGAATTTCTGCACTTCTCTAAATCAAGAAAACAAGTTTTAAAATTGTTATATATAATTTATATATATTTACTATATTTTTTTATTATTTTTTTTTTTAACTACTTTTTGTTAAAATTTTGTAAAAGTAGCAAAGAGATGAAGTTAAACTAGAAACACTTATATAAATTTAAAGAAGTATGTTTGGATTTTTTCTTATAAAATATTTTTGCTACTTGTATTTATTTTGAGTAATGCAAGTACTTAAATATACTGTACTATAGTAAGCAATAAACTCTGAATTTGTTGGTAAATAATGTATAAAAACTATTCTAAACAACAAGTGTCTTTCTGTACTGCAGTGAGTGATAAACTCTGAATCTGTTAGCAAATAGTATATAAAAACTACCTCTAAATAACAGGTGCTGTTTTACAGTTCCCTATCTTATCTTATTATTAGTTTTTACTAAATATTGACATATTTTATATAAAAATTCATTTAAAAATATTTGGTACAAGTGATCATTGAAAAGAGTTGGTTGAATATATAAGTAATATATATACTGCTCTAGTAAATTTAAATTACAAATAAAGTAAACTAATCTAATACTCTGTAATAACATAATATATTATATAATATACTGTATAGTATATATGATAATAAAAACATAAAACTAGGTTTAGGCCGCAGATAAATATTTAGGTTACCAATTAGGTTTTCTAGATGTCTGAGTTCTTATTCTTAGCATTAGACTTAAAATTTAAAACCTTTTTCAATTATGTAAAAAGTTTTCATTAAGTTTAATAAAGATAAGAGCAAGGTCTCACCTTAAATATTTAAAAAAAAAAATAAAAAATAAAAACATAAAACAGAACAAATACTAAAATTAAATAAATTTTTTAGTTTTGATAATACTGTAATTTATTATTAAAGCAATTCTTAAAATATTTGAGTTTAAAATAAATAAACAATTTATTTAAATAATCTATAAATCTGGTAATTCACACTATTCACTAAATAAAATTTAATATTTAAAAGGCAGAATATGGGTACAAAGTTCTATCTATGTTTTATGTAAATTAGGATCGACGAATAGTGGGATTACATCAGGATTGCGATTATTATCAAAACTTTCATATTATGTAATGATCTATCAATTTAACTCTGTCAAATCTAAATGAAGTCATTATTCATCTATATATTTAATAATAAATAAAACAAGTTATAAACATTGCCTTATTTGGATATCATCTGAACCCTTTCCAGTTTTCGAAACAATTCCATTACTTGCTCATAAACTGTAAAGATAATACCTCCGGAAAGCTATCCATCAGTATTAAACAAATACATTAATTGGCTATAATAAAAAGACCGAATGATAAATTAAATTAATTGTAATATACTGACCAGTAATCTTCCCAATCTTGGAGTTGCCCCTTTCCAAAATGCCATAACACCTTCTTCAGTTAGAACCTTCCATCCACAATGAAAACTGTTTTTATACAACTCTTTCGCTTTTAGGCCTTGCATTTTTGTCTTTACAACATCGAGAGGCATAGTTGTGTACACCGTCACTATGCCAGCGATCGCTCCTATTCCAAACGTTACTGCCCATGGAAGCGGTTGTCCTGGTGATGAATATTTTTGGAATTCTTGTTTCAAAGTAGAATATGTAGAAAAACGTACTGCCTGATTTGCCCCTTGACGCATCATTACTGGAAATAGACCGCGATATATTCCGCCAAGTCCTTCTTCCGCTACGATTCTACGAATACCTGTAAAAAAAGAATTTATGAATTATATAATATACGTAAATTGATGGTAGTTACAACGCTTGATTTACCATGTGATAGCCCTTTATATCGTGGCTCAGGTCGATTTGCATCGTGAATCAGCTTAGTTCTATAAAAAGCCATCAGTAATTAAATATACAATAACATTTGTCAACAACAGTCAACAACTTGATTCATTTGATACATACTTTATAGTCTCTGTTGGAGTCACCACAGTGATGGCTTCCACCATTCCCGCGCCCAATCCGGCTATTAACAAAATTTCGTTAGTGCCTAATAAATATCAAGAGATTTCAATGTATTCATTTAAATACCAAGCATAGATCTAGGCCCTGAAACATGTCCATTCTGATCTGCTAGTAGAGTTTTAATCTGGTCATAAGTAAAAAACCGAACACCAGCTTTTGCTGCAGTGCCTATTACTAAGGCCGATAATCCACGATAGAGTGCAAACACTCCTTGTGTTCGGACTGTTTTTACTACACAGTCAATCGGGCCTTTAAATTTCTATAACGATAATACACGATAATTATGACAAATTATGATAAACTATGTATTTTGTATTGATAAGGTTCATAATTAAAATGACATACTTTTCCAGTGGGGGAACCATCCTGTAGTTGTAATTGCGTCTTTACATATTCAGTTGGATACTGCACAAGAGAGCGTAAGTCGTTCAAGTTAAAACATATTACACGAAGCACGTCGTGATAGCATTTAAAGGACGAAATACCCACTGTAATGGTTGCTTCGACACCGCCGGCAACTAATCCAGAACATAGCGAATAAAAAACCTTATCTTTCTAATTAAAAGAAAAAATAATATAACTTGTAAAGTTCACATATTCAAGGTTTTTTTTTTTTTGTTTCGTTACCTTTTTTTGCTGAGACATTAAGTCAAAAAAAAAAAGATACGATAATCCACTTAAAACGTCTCGAAAAGCTTCGTATAAGCCACCCGAAATAATTGGTCGATGAAATCAACCAAAAGTAGGTACGTACGTATAAAATTTCTATACCAGATATATACTAAAAAAATTTTTTTAAAAATAAATTGATAAATATACTTTTTAGTATATAAGAACTATATCAGTATATTTACTTGCAATTGTGCAAGTAATTTTCCCTCTGAATTTTAAACGCTTTTACAGGGGTGTATCTCGAACGATTTACTTGTGCTCCTGTACATTTAAAACCTATAATTAGACCCGCGGATGTGGGCTTATAATTGAGGGTTTATATTTTTTTTAGTTTTTGTGTATACAGTACCCGGGTTTTTTACATTAGGGTGACTCGAATTAAATTAATGATGATGAAATAAGTAATAGTTAACTCCTAGAAATAAGTTAAACCCGGGATCAGGGGTTTGTATACGGTTTTGGTAATAAAATCAGGTCAGTGATTAATTAGACCGCTTCTTAATTAAAATTCATTATTTTTTGTAAAAGAGCGTTTCATTTATTGAAAGTAACGATTTCAAATCTTATTAACACGCCAAAAACTTAGTATAAAAGAATATCTAAGAATGGTACTTAAAATCTATGTATTTCTATATTAAATAAAGGCCAATTCCTTTTGTAAAAGTTAGAATGTGACGCGTCGTTTGATCAATAATCAGCAGTTATATGACATATCCTGTAACCGTGATGAATTTTAAACGTAAGTGCATTGTATCAATCAAATCTCCCCATTTTAGCATCACGTTGCAACTCGGACATCTACCACTGACTGGTAGTAGTTCAAAACGGTCGTTTATGGTAAATAAGCTTGCAAGACAATGAACGTGCGCATTCATGTTACACGTTAAAGCCAAACATGTAACATATGTTTTATGATCCTGAAAAATAAGTATTCTTATAAGTAGTTGAGAAAATTGAGCAAATAAAGAACTATTAAATCACGCACCAGTAACGCGAAGCTTTCATGACAAACGTAACAACCCGATTTGTTTTTCATATTCTCATCATGTTTTTTAAGTTGATGGGCAAGACGTTGTTCTTTAACGCATAATTTATGTTACAAAACGTTTAAATTATATTAATTACAGTCATCCCCCTATATAGTCACCTCTCTTAAAAGCACACATTTTGCAATTATCATTAGAAAAGAAATTTCATATTTAACAACTGTGTGATTATAAAGAAGAATGACTGTATGAGATGTAATATAAAATTTACCTCGTGGAATACCATTAACGTAAGAGAAAGCGTATTTGTCGCCATAATTTTTTTGATAGTCTTCAAATGAACCTTGTGTAACTTTCATGTGCTTTGGCAATTGCCCTATGTCAAATACTGGGCTTACAATATCAGCCAAATCTTTAATAGGTATCACAGTGTGCAAATGTAGCGACCACCGGCTAAAAGCGTTAACGCTTAGCATTTCCTGAAGCACGCTAAGTTTTGTCTTTATTGTGTTGTCATTTTTCCGATAATTAGAATTTTTTAAATGTCTACTGAGATAGGGATGTTGCCACGCCCACTCAAACTATGAATTAGAACAGCAATAAGTTTTGAATAAACGACATTTGTCAAGAAGAGCATCGATGAATCCATGAAAGAAACCTGCAATGCAGCCTTTTTATTAGGAAATCCATAAACGATCAAAACAAATTTCCTAAATCAAGAAAGCAATGAGAAGCGAAGAAGGTGTCAACTCATAACATAATGCCGATAAATAATTTATGTATACCAAGGCCGTTTTCCTTTGGTCCTCTCGGCGCCAGCGGCAATTTCACCATTATGTTGTCTTAGACGCTTTTGAGGATCCGGGGTTGTACCTAAGAATATAATATTTTAGCAAACTGCGTATTAAAAAAAAATTTATAAAATAAAAATTGCAGCTACATACCAATATAGCAGTAATCTTGGTGTTTCTGGTTCAGGGATTTTATTAAGTATACACAATCAAAGTCATAACGTATATTTTGTGCATTTTCGTTTTCAAGCATTTTGAATTTTCGCGTTTTTTTTTTTCGATGTAGAAAGGAATTCATGTGATTGGCTAATTGGCATTTTTATTTGTTTTGATTTGACCCCGTGATTTACGGATTTGAATTTACATATATATATAAACTCCCATTTATTTTTTTGCACTATTTGATAATTTAGACACTTATTGTTTGATCAATTCCACCAGGCGAACATTAAGTTTGTTCTGGGTTATTTGTTATTGAATGCAGACCGGTAACGTGTACCTAGTGTTGGGCTTGCTTTTAAGTCCAGTAAAATTGAGCTTATAAATGGTCCACTGGACCTATGAGTCTAGTAGAACGGATTTTTGGTCCAGAGCCAAACACTGCGTGTACCATTAGGCCTTACTTTAATTAAATAATGTTTAGGTGCTTATTGTTTGTTTAAAGAGTGTTCTTTACCCAGAGCTTAGTCAAACATTAAGTTGTTTATTTATTGTTTGCAGAACGGTATGTTTTTTTTTTTTTTTTTTTTTTTACGTTTTTCTTTTTTTTTAAAGAAGAAAATTTGAAAATAATTGTAATATAAGTTGTGGTGCTTTTGCAGCTTTGAGGTTTACTGGTTATCTGCAAAAAAATTACTGCTTGTATCGCTTTTATTTGATAATTTTTTTCTTTTAAATTAAGAAACCCCTTAATACATGACGAAGCAAAGTAAATTTTCTGGTTTTTAAAATTTAAAATTTTTTTTATTTACAGCTGTCCTAATAAATGTTAGGACAAACTATAAAAATTAGTCATTTCCCGAAATCTCTTCGGTTTCGTTCTAAAGGTCACCTAACTCTTCGGAATCACGTCATTGCCTTCGGAACTTCAGTCCGGAGATAGCGATGTATTTTCTGGAGAGTTAGATGATTCATAGGACGAAGCCGAAGAGATTTCGGGAAACTAGCAAATTTTTAGTTTGTCCCAGAATTTATGAGAACAGCTGTAAACATTTGAAAAATTGTTGATAACCCAATCGATAAGTTTTTGATGTCGGTCGACGTCAATAACTTATTGATTCCGACTCAGTGACTTATCATTATACTGCTGTACTGTAAAAACTTTCATATTTTCTAAAAATAATGGAAATAGCTGTTTAAAAATTACGTATATTTATATACCGGGTGTTTCAAAAGTCACTATGATCTATATAAAGATCATCGTAATAAAAAATAGGAACCAGTAGTGGGACTTTTGAAACACCCGGTATATACCGTACCATTCCGAAATTAAGCCCCTTTTTTTGTTATACGGGATGCTTATTTTCGGATATAATTTTAAAATTTAATGATACGGGTTTTGTGCTAAGTAAACCTTCCTACTATTTCTAAGATATTCTACAGGTCAAGACGATTTTAACGATGGCAAAATCGCCAAAATTGATCCAGTAGAACTTAAGTTATTGCTCTTCAAAATTCAATCGACGTTTGTTTACATTTGCTTACATTATGTAAGTAAATGTTGCCTGAATTTTGAAGAGTAATTGTAAAAGTTTTATGGTGCAGGACATCTAGTCACATCACAAAATAATTGTTTGCATTAAAAGTTTAATAACTTTTTTAAAAAATAAGCAATTAAAAAAAAAACTTTCTATAATAATATTATTTAAGACCTAAAGAATATTGGTATAGAGTTTTTTTAAAAAATCTCTTTTATTAAAAAGTTATTTTGATTTAAAATTTCTTTAATTTATTAATATTTTAAAA